CGGTGTGTCTGCTGCGCGCGCGGGGGGGGGGGGGGGGGGGGGTTCCTCGTCCAGCCGAGGAGGACGGGCAGCCCAGCCTCCCTGCTCCCGCTCACCTGGTTATCGGAGGGTTGCGGCTCTTTCCCAGGATCGCTTGTGGGCTTCGGCTCAGCCGTACCCATTTCCACTTCCACTCGACTGCAAGGCGCTGTCTGTGTAGCTGCTGACACAAAGACCGCTGGCTCACGGAGGAATGCTGCTGCTGCTGCTGCTGCTGCTGCTGCAGTCTGAACACCCTTGCTGCTCTTGCCAACCGGAAGCACTTCGCCTTCACCATTTCTTCCTGCGGGGCCTGCTGAACTGGGGACCTTCCAGGCCCGGCTTCTCTCCTCCTCCTCCTCCTCCTCCTGAGCTCCTGCGGCCACCATCTCCACGGCTTCTCCCTCTGCCATACAGCTCACCGGCCTCTGAACTCCCGGCTTCAAGTCCAGGACCTGTCTACAGCTCAGGGACTCCAGAGTCCGTTGGCTCGTACATTTTCTGGGTCGCTTCTCCTCTTCCTGAGAACTCGGGAAATTGAACAGTTCACCCCTGGAAGCCAATCAGAAGAATGTGCACAAGAGGAGGATCAGACCAAGGTTTCGTCTAGTCTGGCAACAGATTTCTGACAGGAGCAAGCCACAGGCTTCCAAGGAGCCCACACGCTGGCTGGTTAGCTACCAAGGCTAAAAGCTATCGTTAGATTCAGCCTCCATTTGCCAATCCCCTTGAAGCAATTGCACACACAACACTGCAGCGTGCATAAATACGCCTCACTCACCCCTCCTCTCTTACTAGACTCCCAACGCTTCAGGCCTACAGCTGCTGCGGACAGAGGAAGCGAGAAGAAGCTCTGCACCTTCGGCGGGCAGCAACAGCAACACCTGATCCTGCATCAAGAGCTCAGAGCTCCTCCTGCTCTGCCCTTCTGCCCCGAGCAGCTCTCACGAGTCCCACCCCCCAAGGTCGCTCTGTCCAATGGGCAACACTGGATCTATTACAAGCTACTTGCTTTCCTCCTCTAGAAGTTTTTCTAATCTCTGCAGTTCAAAGAGCACCCCTCACATTTTGGGGGACTCCAATCTGCATACGAGAGAGGATAAGAACCCCCCCCCCCAATCCTTCCCTTGAACCAAATATCTCAACACAAAGCCCATTTGCCCAGCTAAAAGGACGGCATCCCAGTCTGTTAATAAACTATTCTTGAATTCATCACTAATTTCCTCTCAGGCTTGTTTGACCTGACGCTACTTTCTTGCTGCACTACCAGCTCAGGATTACAAACGTTGGGGTTTTCTCTTCTTCCCACCCCACGCACACACACACATGATAAGAGTGTGCCCAGTGCCCTCTTCCTACTTGACACCACAGCCACCCCGATGTCACAGTAACTGTGCCGTCAAAACAAGAGCCTCAGGAGACCAATACAGCCACAGTCCTCACACTGATGTGAAGCGTCTGGGCTCCGGCTTTCCCCCCCACACACACACACACTCCCAGGCATGCACTCTCCGGTTCTCTCAGTGCCACCGTGCGCCACACGAGATCCTGGAAGAAACTCCCAGGCACGTCGTCCAGCCCCTTCAAACAGCCCCTCAGAGAAAGGGCCTTCCCAGAACTCTCTTTCGGAAAGTAATTCTGGGGACAACGTGCCCACTCAGCTCCCTGCCTGGAGGCGCACACGGCCCCCCCAGCATGGGAAGACCTCCTCCTCAGGGGGCTCCACACGGTGGCCCCAGTGGCATCTTGCTTGCCCAACAGCCGGCCAACAGCCAGAATCCACACAGGAAGCAGGATTCTGGGGCTCAGCAAAGAGCACGCGTAGGGTTCCTTGGGCCTTAAGGGACCACGAGACTCTTCCTCACTAAAGCAGGACCAGACGCAACACTAAAAAGGTCTTCGACGTGCTTGCCTGATCGGTGAACAAGGTAATTCTGGCCCTTGAATCTTGTTCTCTTGTTGGGCCTCACAGATGCGAGTGAACACAGATGGTGTCCTTCGAGAACTACAAACAGACAGGATAGAGAAACTTAGAAAGATGTATTACCATCAAGAAGACACTGACGCACAGCAACAAATTTGCTCACAATTCACTTGGAGTCACTCCCCCAGAACACCAGCCGCTTGCATCTCTTCTGAGGACCCAAAAGACCTCAAGAGGCCGCCTATGGAGCTGAACGAGGACAAAGTAGTCCTTCATGCAGACACCCTGCCTGCCTCTGCAGCCCACCTGAGCTCTGAGCCTGTTCCACGGGGCAGCTGCCGAACCTCTTCATTCTGAGACTCCATCCGGCCACACTGACCCTTTTGCCCCGGTAACCTCGTAGCTGGGCTACTGCAACACGCTCTGTGTTGAGCTGTCCTTAAAGACAAGGCGATGGGCACCGTACCCCATTTCAAAGGGGCAACTCCGGCAGCCAGTTTGCTTCCACGTCCAACCCAAGGTGCTCGTATGACCTACGAAGCCCTTTTCAGCCCCCGCGGGGCCCGTCTCTGAGGACCGTCCCCTCCTGTGCTGCTGACCACAGCCTGGCCTTTTCCCATCATGCCTCCCACTCTGCATAATGGGCTCCCCAAAGGGATCGCAGGGTTTTTTGTTCTACTTGGTTTCAATTTGTAATGTTTTGACTGCTTTTTGTAAGTCACCCGGAGCCAAAAGGATAGGTGGGGTGTAAACATTTTAATAAATACAAAATAAACCAGTAACTCTTATCTATCTAGTACGTTTTTACCCTGCTTTTCTAAGGAGTTCAGGGCAGCATGCATGGATTTCATCTTCACAGCGACCTTGTGAGGCGGGCAAGGCTGGGAGCCACAAGGCCTGGCCCGGGACCATTGCAGGGTGCTCATGGCAGAGTGAGGCTCTGATCCCGATCGCAGGTCTGAGCCAGACACCACTGGGTCCACATTCCGTGGCGGGAAAGAAGGCTCAGTTTCGCACAACCATGCTCACCAGATCCTACGCTCTACCCTTGCTGCTCTCAAATTTCTTCACAGCAACAGATTATCAATTACCTGGCTTCGGCAACTGACCCCTTCTTCCTTTCACTGGCCACAGGCTCTGAAGGGCGACAGTGGGAGAGAAGAGAGGCGGTGTGAAGAGCGCGAGCACCCCTCCGGGGGGGGAGGGCCCCCCGCTTCTGAACAAGCCCTGCTGGCCACCAGTAAAGTGTCCCCGGCCAGCCCCCACTATCCGTTCAGCCACACGCCTGGGACAAGTGGGCAAGTCCTGCTCCCCGACTCCGCTCAACCCACCCAGCGTCTGCAGCTGCCTTCCGCCCACTGTTCCCAAATCGAGATTGGTGCACCGCGTGGCCCCCAGCCGAGAAGGCTGGGGGGGGGGGCACTGCTGGGCACGGGAAAGGCCAGGAGCCCTGAGGGTGACACCTGCCCCAGAAGAAGGGAGGGAGGGGGACCGGCAGGGCGAGAGCAGACGAGGAAGCCCCTTGGGGCCCCCGGCGCCCCAGCTTCGCGTCTCTTACTCTCCAGGCTGAAGGGGAGAGACTCGGTCTCCTCAGTTCCCGGGGCCGTGAGGCTCATGCGCAAGGAGAGCTTCCCTTCGTCTTCCCCAACGGCCACAGAATCCTCCTTGGGGCTCCCCTCCATCCCGGAAGACGCCACGGAGCTCTCCATTGTGACGTCATTGGCACCCTCTGCTGTGACATCACTGGTTGCTATGGTGCTGTCTGGGCAGTTTCCAGTCACTGAAACAAGAACAAGAGGGCAGTCTCACCCCCTCTGGAGCCCCACGTGGCCTTCCCCAGAGCCCAGGTGAGAGGATGCCCCCCCCCCCTCCGGCACCTGGCCAGACCTGACACCTGGTACGCTCCCAGGTATGCCCCCCGCCCCGCCCCCCCGGCCAGGTGCTGCCATTGTTCAAATGGGATTCCGGAGAATCCGCACGCCGATCAACGCCCCGGTCTCCTTGTGAGGGTCTCTTGTGCCACTGGTGGCTCTGAGGGTCTCTCCTTGAGGCTTTCACCTCCCACACACGCCTCACAGGCAGAGCTCGGCACAGTCTCGCACCTGGAGGCCATGCCCTAGAAGGAGGAAGCCTAACCCTCACTAGGCTTAGACCCCCAAGGGGGGGGGGGGGGGCAGGGATGACAGACCCCCAAGGGTAGGCCGCTGCGCGCTCTGTTCCAAGAGTCTCAGCCCAGCCCTCCATCCGATCAAGCAGTGAGAAGACAGCCTCACGGTCGATCCAGCGTATTCTACCATCCGTGTCCTTGTGATGGATGTTGAAGAGCTGTCTACTCCCAAGGGGGGGAGCAGCTAGAGCCGGTGACCAAATACTACTCCTGCAGAGAAGCAGCCATCTGGTTCCTAGGACCTCCCCAAAGGAGTTTCGAGGGGCCCCAAGGCAGATTCTGAAGGGCTCTGGGAAGAGCCCTCTGCATTGGATGAGTGGGCAATGCCACTGCAAATGAAGCTCAGTACGGCCCCAAAAATCCCAGCTTCAAATATAAGATGCTGGGGCCTCAACGGGCTGAGACTGAGGGGGAGAAATCCTGGGACCACCGTGGATGGCTCAATGGAAGCATCAGCTCTGCCATGGCAGGGGTGGAAAGGGCAAACTCCATGCTGGGGGCTATCGGGAAAGGGCAACCGAACATACAATGCCCAGGCATGCTAACATCCCTGCGTCGATCCATTGGGAATGCGGCACGCAGTCCTCGCAGCCAGCCTTCATTCAGAAAGGACTGCAGAGAGGGACTGCACCGGCCCCTTCCTTCCTTGCCGGCTGGCACGGCGGGTGCCACACAGCTCAGCCACTTTGTTTCGTATCTCCAAACGAGACCACCCAGAGCTTTGCGGTGGGATCCAGTCATCCACATGCTGAAAGCACTCGGCTACAGCCTGCAGACGCCCAGTCTGGCCACACGGGTCCACGCTTCAGTAACCTCAGGGCAAATCATTGCAGCCGGGTTACTTTTGGCGGCATCAGATGGCACCGCAACATCACAGATTTGGTGCATGTTAGTAAAATAAAATGTAAAAAACAACCTTGAGGCTAGATTACTGGAACATATTCTACATTGGTCTGCCTTTGGAAACTATCCAGACGCACTGTCTAGGGACGGCTCTGCTGCCGCCTGGGTCCGTGCAGCAGCCTCCCGGCAGAGACAGAGTCCCAGAGTTCCCACGGACTCTGCTTCCGGGGCAACAGGAAGAGAACGCAGCCGTCAAGACGGGGGGGGGGGGGGGGCACAGATTCCCTGGAGATGCAGGCGAGTGCCTCAAGCGGCCACGACCTTGGTGAAGACTTGCAGGGCAAAAGCAAAACAGGAGAACCCTGAATTGAACCATTTCTGCCGTAGTTAAATTCCCCACATTGAGGTTTTTAAAACTGCACATTATGTCAAATTTTCTACAGTAGATTTTTCCTTACCAGGTGCAAACCCAAAGTTTTCTCCTTCTTGCCCCGTGTTTTTGGAACTCAGTAAAACTCGGGATTCTGAAAATGCAGGGTAAGGAGGAGAAAACGTCGGGTTTGTGCCTGGTGAGGAAAAATCTACTGGGGTCACATGAAGCGCAATTTTTAAAACGTCACTGTGGGGAATTTCACTACTGCAGAAGTGGTCTTGGGAAGCCATAGGCAAACCTGAGGAGCTTCCTGTGGAGCGTGTGATTTAGGACACGTAGGGAAGGATACTGTGAGATGACCTGAGGAGAGAAACATTCCTCAGTGAATTGCCTCCGCTGCGGTGCTGAGTTTTCATTCAGAATTTCCTTCTCTTCACAGGCTTCTTGAGATGCTCTCCACTGTCACATTCCTTGGGCAACAGCAAAGAAGCTACAGTCTGTGCCAGGGAATTTTGGGTTCCAAGGTACAAGCCGTATCACTCAAATGTCTAAAAGAAGGCTGACTGTGCAGTTGGTTTCTGGGCTCCAAAGATCTATTAGCTGGCGGGACGTGCCATGAGCACTCCGTGGCAGGCTGTGCAAGTCAGCCTGACGGGAAAGAAGTTTTTTCAGATGTGCCCATCCCGGCCTGTAGGATGGTGTTCCGGCTTTGAGTGGAACCAGGCCTGCCTTAAAAGACCTGGCATCCCTAGTTTCTCTGTGGCCATCCAGACAAAAAGAGTCAAAGCCTTGTCTGGCATTCTTATGGTCATCCTTTTTGATTCTGGTGGGGGGGCCCCGTGTTTTTGGCGGCGCGCGGGGGGGGGGGGGGGGGGGGACGAAGCCAGCCTTAAGGGCAAGCAAGAGGAGGAGAACAGACGCTCCGAGTGGCCCTTGCTGCCAAGCCGGAAGGGACGGGGGGAGCCACCCCTTCAATTTAAAGAAGAAGAAAACCGTGCTAGAATTTGCTTAGCCTTTGCCTGCAGAGCACACGGGAGTTGTGCTGCTCACAAGAATTCCCTCCTCCACTGACAGTGCGTAGCCAGGTATGTCCCAAACTGCCCAGCAGCTGCAGCAAGGTCAGACCCAAACACTCCTTCAGCAGCACGGAATCGTCCTGATGTGCTCTGGAGCCTTTATGTGCTCTGCCGACACGTAAAGAAGCAAAAGGCCTGAATCAGGCCTTAAAGACTCTGTTCCTGATTGGAGCTCGGCTCTCGCACCTGGGTTCTTTGGTCTTGCTTCTTCCTCTGCTTTCTGCGTATGAGGAGCCTCCATCCACTCCCTTTGCCAGCAAGGAAGACCGGGCCAAACTCCGGTGCAAAACGAGCAAGGCTTCCTCACCAGACCGCTTCCCATCTCTCTTCACCCGCCCACGGAGGTCGTGCATATTCCTCTCCAATAAGCTCTCCTGAAACCTCCCTGCCTGGCACCCCTTGCTGGGGCGCAGCACTGGTGCCTGCCTGGCTACCGCACGGCCGCATCTGCCACTCACCAATGGGAGTGCTGTGTCGTCTGGGGCCCTTTTTCAGCTGGCCAGTGAGCGGTGGAGTGATGCTGGCCAGGGACGACCCCTCCTTCAGCAAAGTGAAACGAAACAGAGTTTCTGTGTGTGAGAAAGAGAGAGAGAGAGTGTGGCTGAGATGGCTTCTTCCTTTTGCTTTCCACGCCACGAGGCAAAGCCCGCCATCCTGCTTGCCCAAAACAGCAACAATCTGCAAGGATGAACAGAGCAAGGGGTGCTTTCTGCACATCACGGAAAAGCAGCTGAAGAGCCCAGCCTCGAGAGAGGCTGCACCACGACTGAAGAGCAAGGGGGCACGGCACCAAGAGGCAGGTCAAACCCTGTGCTCATGCCCCTCCCTCCCTCTCCGTATCTGGCAGGTGTTCTACAGAGAGTCACTCCCATCATTTACACCAGCAGGCAGGCAGGACCATGCAAATCAGAAGGGGAGGTGTCCCTCCAGGAGGAAGAACACTTCCATCCCAGCTTCAGGACACAGCACACCCAAGGCGCACACGCGCGCACACACACACGCGCGCACACACCCCGCTTGATCAGACCAGCGGTCCAGCACCCTCCTCCCCAAGGCCAACCAGCTTCCCAACAAGCAGGAACAAAACGGGCTCTGTTGCTGTTGGCCCCCCACCCCAGCAGCCGGCAGCACGACTGCATGTTCACAGCCAGTGCACCTGTGAATGCCACGTACCTGGGAGACTCCATGCAGCCATCATGGCAAGCATCCATCAGCAGACCTATGTGAATTCCTCTCTCTCTCACACACACACACACCCCTTCCTTTAAGGCCAGCAACCATCAGCACATCCTGCAGCAATGATTCCCACAAGCTCCTAACCTAAGGACATCCAAAGAGCCCTGCTGCAGGGTCAGACCACTCTGCTCTGTCTCGTCTAGCACCAGCTGTGCCCAGGAGAACCAGCGAACAGGGCAAAGGAGCCAAGTCCTCTCCTGATGCTGCCTCCTAGGCTGACTGCCTCTGCACCGGGAGGTTCCCTTAACTCACCACGGCTCGTAGGCACCGAGGGACCTGTCCTGCCGGTCATCCGTGCTCGTGGCCATCACTACATCCCCTGGCAGTGAACGCCACCATTTAATTACTTTATTTTCTCTCGTCTATCCTGAATTTACTGCCCAAAAACTTAATTAGGTGCCCACGAGCTGGAGTATTATGGGAGAGGGAGAAAAAGCTCTTACCTACTTTCTCTACCATATGCAAAATTTTATACACCTCTAATATTGCCCACTCTCATGTCATGGCAAGGGGGCTTGCGTGGTTCGACGAGGCTGCGGGCTATGCCGTGGAGGGCCACCCAGGACGGACTGGCCGCAGCGGAGAACTCAGACAAAACGCGATCCCCTGGAGGAGGAAATGGCAGTATCTTTGCCAAGAAAACCCCATGGACAGTAACAAAAGGCTCGTAATGCAGATCAGACACCATTTTATGTTTGCTTGCCGGCTTACTTGACCAAACTTTGGTCAAAGGCTTCTCAAGGCCTACTTGGGCCGTGGGATGCTTGTTAGACTGTAAACTGTGAGAAAGCTAACAAGGTATCTGGGTTGCCATGGAGACCATGGAGAAGGAGGTCCTGAAGGTCCTGATCAGGAGGAGAGTTACTAAATGTCCCTGACTCCGTGCAGCCGCTGGCTCTTAGCTGTGCTGGCCTGTGGGGCCATTAATTAATTAACACATTCCCAAGTGATAGCACCTGTGTGTGGGGAGGGAGATGGAACCATCTTTAAGAATTTTAAGTTTCGTTTCCCTAGAGCTCAAAAACAAGTATTATGGGATGGTGGTCACCCTAGTTACTGGCAGGAGTGACATCACTTTGCAAGACTGTGAATGGTCAACAGGCCTGGATCATTCGTAGCCCTTTTCCCTATAAGTAACTTGGTCTTTAGTGACCATGTGGGATTCTTCGGGTATCTTGGCCAAGCCTGGTCAATACTCTGAAGCAACCCTCACTATGCCTTGAGTACTTGGAATACCACCCTGATGGGAATATGCACTCTGGACTTGCACTCTGCGTCTACAAAGACTTTGGTACCTTGAAACATTATGCGGGTAAACTGCTTGTACATTGCTTGTAAGTAATTAGCTATGCTGGAAAAGCCTAGATTTATTGTTTTGTCCTTCACTGCCTAAAGTCTCGTGTTTTATAACTTTGCACAATTTACTTAAATAAAGAAATTTATATTTTTACCTGGACTGGGTTATTAAGCCTCACGAACTTCAGAGTCTACATCCTGTGTCTTAGACTACTAGGTCTTTCTACTACCAATTGTGTGTCTTTGTTCAAGCCTGTGGTGGAGACTGCAGACTTGTTCTTGGATTTGTGTTCCTGTGTCAGCCTGGAGATTTCTAGTTACTTTGCTCCAGACCTGTGGGAACTCTAAAAGTGACTTGGTGGCAGACTATCTTTGATACTGTGCTTGTGTTAACTGTCCATTAAGAACAGCCCTGAGGCCCTGGAGAGGACCTCTGGTCTGTTACAAGGCTACAAGAGATGACGCCAGAAGATGAGCCCCTCAGGTCGGAAGGTGTCCAATATGCTACTGGGGAAGAGCAGAGGGCAAGTACAAGCAACCCCAGTAAGAGTGAGGCGGCTGGGCCAAAGCCAAAAGGACGCTCAGCTGTGGATGTGTGCGATGGTGACGTGACGTCCGATGCTGCAAAGAACAATACTGCACAGGAACTTGGAATGTAAGATCTATGAATCAAGGTAAGCTTGACGTGGTCAAAAATGAGACTGAACATCAACATCTTGGGAATCATAAGAACATAAGAGACGCCAATGTTGGATTAGGCCAAAGGCCCATCCAGTCCAACACTCTGTATCACACAGTGGCCAGAAATACTAGGTAATATCAGGAGGTCCACCAGTGGGGCCAGGACATTAGAAGCCCTCCCACTGTTGACCCCCCCAAGCACCAAGATGACAGAGCATCACATTGCCCCAGAGTCCCTATCCATACCTTGTGGCTAATAGTCACTGATGGACCTCTGTTCCATATGCTTATCTAATTCCCTTTTGAAGCCGTCCATGCTTGTAGCCGCCACCACCTCCTGTGGCAGTGAATTCCAAGTGTTAATCACTCTTTGGGTGAAGAAGTACTTCCTCTTATCCGTTCTAACCCGACCGCTCAGCAATTTCATGGAGTGCCCACAAGGAGTTCTTGTCTTGTGAGAAAGCGAGAAAAGTACCTCTTTCTCTACCTGCTCTTTCCCATGCATAATCTTATAAACCTCAATCATGTCACCCCTCAGTCGTCGTTTCTCCAAGCTAAAGAGCCCTAAGCGCCTTAACCTTTCCTCATAGGGAAACTGTTCCAACCCCTTTATCATTCGAGTTGCCCTTTTCTGCACTTTTTCCAAAGCTATAATATCCTTTTTAAGGTGTGGTGACCAGAATTGCACACAGTATTCCAAATGAGGTCGCACCATTGATTTATATAGGGGCATTATGATATTGGCTGATCTGTTTTCAACACCCTTCCTAATAATCCCCAGCATAGCATTGGCCTTCTTTATTGCAGTCACACACTGTCTCGACATTTTCAGTGAGTTATCTACTACAACTCCAAGATCTCTCTCTTGATCAGTCTCTGCCAGTTCAGACCCCATCAACGTGTATTTATATTTAGGATTTTTGGCTCCAATGTGCATCACCTTGCACTTGCAATGCACATCACCTTGCACTCTGGAACCCTTTTTAAAGATGGGAGTGACATTTGCTACCTTCCAGTCCTCAGGAATTTTTGTCAGGAGATCCACAAGTTCACATTTGA